GGGGGGGCAGTGAAGAAGACCAGAGTTCGATTCCCACATGTGGAGAATATTTATCGAGGATCTCAGTCCTTCCTACCGGTACGTTGAGTCTGTCTCAGCCCAGTTTGGTCCTGTCAGGCAGAGTCGAAGCTCGCCTTCTCCCACGTAAACTAAATTGTATCGATGGGGGCGTAAAAACAATTACTCTCATAAGAATTATTTATTTTACAGGTCGTTTTTTTTTTCTACTGCGCTCAGAATAAATGAATGAACGCAGCATAGTGAAACCGCCGCTCAAAAAAAAAATAAGGTGGAATGGCAAAGGTTTAACCCTCCTATCAACACATATTAGGTTCTTTAAGAGGCGGGACCTCCGAGTTTAACGTCCATCTCTGAAAGGACCGAACCAAAATATGTGGAATTCGTGTAAAGTGCCTTTCCCAAGGACGTAACCTCGGACGGACCGAGCTGAGGCTCGAGCCCCCGAATCCAGAATCTCAGGATTACGAGTCCAGTAGCCTAACCTCTAGGCTACCGACGAGACTCCACACAAGAGAGAGAGACAGTGAAATGGTGAGATTTGAGAGCACAACACAAAGATTGTATGTGCATCCACTGCGAAAAGTCTAAGTGGGTGGTTGGCGGGTGCTCTGGTGGTGTTTGCCCCTTCTTTGCTATCAAACGTCTATCGTACTGATCTCTTTTTTCCCTTTTTTTCTTTTGGAGTTTGTTGCTTTCTTGAAACGCATTTAATCTTCTGCCCCTATATGACCTAATTGTGCTGCAAGTGCCGTAAAACGTTTACTAAAACAAGAAGAGACTATGACCACACACTCATAGTGTAATGCAGTGCCCAACGGAACAACGAGCAAAAAGCAAAGGTTGTCGCAGAAAAAAGGAACAATCTTGGTTGTGTTTTAGCCCATAGAAAAATATATGTGCCGCCTTATGTAGCATTTTATGTCTATGAACTTACAGAGCAGCATCAGCTGTTACCTGAAAAGGTGAGAAACGTAGTGAAAGCGGTTGGGTTGGTGAGAAATTGGATTCGGAATGGGGGGAGGGGGATATTAAAGCCTCATGATGGATAAATGGGTGGGTGAGAGAGGGTGGGGGTGGGGTTGGGATGA